CCTTTAGTGTAAACATGCATATTATTTTTTTTTCTTTAGACAAATATTTAGCTCCAAACTTTTTGTGATAAAATTTATACTTACCCTGTCTGTTTCTGTCGTCCTACAGTTCTAAAAGGCTGGGGTTTGTTTTTCGAAAGTCCGGCAGATACAAATTATGACAGTTATTGTTTCTCGTTTTCTGTGGAAAAAACCGTAGACGTCTGTTCTTTTCCTATTGGACTCTCGGCTGTCTGATGTGCAATCAAGCCATGATCCTAACAAGTATCCTAATAAAAAAATAGTATAAGATAATTTATTACATGGGAGAAATTATTGAATGTTTACGTGTTAGATTTAGAACAACGAATCTGTGTGATCAAATTAGAAATCGCTATAACGTATTACCTGACGATAGGGTAAACAAAATATAGATTTCCCGTCGGTATTAACAAACTGACGTTGACAAACAACTACATTGGAAAAGACATCGTATAATTGCCCTATGGTTAATGGGTTATAGGGAGGTCTAATAATTGTTGAAGTTATACTACGTCTGACGAGATGGATGACACCTTTGGTATCTTCCTTCTGTCGGAGCCATCAACATGACTAAACGTGACTAACGTTTGCATGTCCCGGTACGTTATATTATTTTCATAAATTAATTTTCATACATTTTGTATCAGAGGTTACTTGTTGTGTTGCATCTGTCTATTTTTTGTTTTCTTTCTTGGTTGACACTAATTTATACTGGCAGGATCCATGGTATTACTTCTGTCTTGGGTACTTCTTTGCTACCTGTCGTCTCTGCCGTTAGTAAAAGTTTCGGGGATTCACTATTCGAAAAATTTTCTGTATCCGATATATTGGTAATTTCGTCCAAATAACAACGTCGTCAATCCTGGAGGTCTTTTTGCGCTCGTTTTTAGGAGACTAATACGCCCGATTTTAGGAACTATACCCCGATTTAGGAACTAATACCCCCGATTTTAGAACTAATACCCCGATTTTAAGGAACTAAATACGCCCGATTTTAGGAACTAATACCCAACGTTTTAGGAACTAAGTACCGCCCGTTTAGGAACTAATAACGGCTAGATTTGTACGTCCCAAAAATACACTTAAATACGCGCCACTTTAACGCTTTATAACGCGTTTCTTATCCAAAAAAAATTTATAACCCGGACAGAAATATAAGAGAGTCGTGTTTTTCTGCGACGGCTGTATTTGCAATTCGGGGAAAAGGCATAAGTTAATCTTAAGTTACAAGACTAAACCTAACATTTTCGTTTAAACTTTGTTGACACCTGTTGTGTGTGTGTGTGTGTGGTGTTGTGTGTGTGTGTGATGTCGTGGTGTGTGTGTGTGTGTGTGTGTGTGTGTGTGTGTGTGTGGTGTGTTGTTGTGTTGGTGTGTGTTGTGTGTGTGTGTGTGGTGTGTGGTGTGTTGTGTGGTGTGTGTGTGAAGTGTGTGCTTGGTGTTGGGTGAGTGTGTGTGATGTGCTGGTGTGTGTGTGTGGCGTGTGTGTGTGTGTGTGTGTGTTGTGTGAAGTCATGAACACGATGAGTGAAAGCGAAGAACATCGGCCTATCCCCTCGTGTGCCTTGGCAACCATTTTTATTTTCAAAATAAATAGCAGAAAGCCTCTATATTTTTGAAACAGGGTTTCCTCTTTGCAGGCTGGTTAAAAATAGCCAAAAACAAAGAACATGTGTGTCTGCTGAATCCGTTTCCTGAAAAGCGCCCCGATGAGGCACATGACAAACTTTCACTTCTGCTTTTACAGCCAGTAAAATCCATGTTTATAGACAGGAGCTCAGTTGTTCTAAAGCTTGTCATATTTTAGATCTCTCTAAGAACTGCGTTGTAGTGTGTATATTATATTATATTTTCCTGCAATTGTTATTATTATTTTCACATAATGTCAGTTTTTAATATTTAAACAGCTTATATACTCACTTAGACTGTCGGCAGGTATACATTCATTCCCTGTTCATCACACTTTATTTCATGTCTAGTTTGTGTTGCCTGTGAGTATCATTCATGTTTTTTTACTTGCACAGTTACACGTTGGTTTCGTAATGACAAGCTGCTGTGCAGAAGATGTCCACGCTGTCTGTGACTGATATTCCAGATGTTGGTCGTGGTAAGAGAAAGCACTTCTGTATTAGTCCAAAGAGTGAGATAAACAATGACAGGGTCTCTTCTCTCAGTAAAGGTTTAAATTGTACTATGCCACGAAGCTTATTCTTGTTCTAGAAATTGCTATCTAGCAGCTGTATTTGTGTACACTGGCTTATTATGTTGTCCTCCTAAAATGAACATCTTGATTCATAATTAAATCACATTTCTGTGTCATTGTGTGGCAGGACTGCTTGGATTTCCACAGCCTCTCACAAAACAGTGATTTCATCAGAAACCAAAAATTATAAAAGTCTTGGTCTTTATCCCATGAGCTTTGTGTTATGACATGTATTTGAGTTGTGTATTGTGTTTATTTTGGAAACCTGTCACAATCGAGATTAAGTAATGCCAAACAACGTCTCGATTGATAGCACCAGTTGGCTGGTACTTGTTTTCAACGTGTGTGTGTGTGTGTGTGTGTCCTCTGTCAGATGAAAGTAAGGTGTTTGACGGGGCCTCTGAGCTGCAGCTGGACTGCATGGTTGAGGAAGGCAGTGGAAGCACCGCAATGAAGCACGGCGGCCTGCTGTCACTGGCTGACCTCTCCAGGCCAGATGACTTTCCCGCCCCCCCACACAATGGCTCATCCCTGACCGACATAAGCAGCCCTCTGCCGGTGGAGCTGAGCGACATCAAGTTGGACCCTGGATCTGCAGGGGACACACCCGCCAGCTTAGGTCAGAGAGAAAAGTTACTCTTGTTAACAGCTGCTGCAAACAACTGAAATGTTTAACGGAAAGTGAAAACCATGTAGCATATATTGACAAAACTGAAATGCATATCCTTTTAAGAGGGAGTTGCGTGTGTGTGTAAAAACAGTGTGCACTTTCTGTTGTGTCACTGCCATTGAATGTATATCTGAGAGAGCCCAACATTACTGAATACATCACTTTTATGAAAATACTTGGGAAGGCATTTTAAGTACAATAGACTTTTATGATTTCCACTTTTATTTTATTTGGGTCACACCGCAGTGACATTTTAAATATTTTATTGAAATATATTTTCAATGACATTTGAAGTCAACCCCTCTTAAAATAGTCCTACATTTAGACTTTAGTCTACATTCCTGTGTTATTTGTGTGTGTGTACTGGTTTGACAACTTCCACAGACTGGACCAACCAGTATTTCCTTTGACTTAATCTCTATAATGTCTTGCACATAGTAGTATCCATTAAATATTAGTTGTGAGCATATATAGATATTTGCTCTAGAATAACCTTTTTCATTTTCATGTAAATATAGAAGCATATTATCTACGGCGATGATTTGAATAGGGATAGGATGCCTGGAAGTACTTATCTTTTCTTTATTTTAATAACGGTAGAGGAGCAGACATTTCCTAACCTCCTGCACACATAAAAAAACCTCAGTGCACAAGGTGCAGCCTCAGAAAAACTCACCTTCCTTTTCTTTTTTATAGATGGCCAGCCAGTGAAGAGGAAGAAGGGGCCTGCGCCGAAGATGCTGGGCAATGAGGTGTGCAGTGTCTGCGGGGACAAGGCCTCTGGCTTCCATTACAATGTACTGAGCTGCGAGGGCTGCAAGGGCTTCTTTCGACGCAGCGTCATCAAAAGCGCCCAGTACAACTGCAAGAACAATGGCCGCTGTGAAATGGACATGTACATGCGGCGCAAGTGCCAGCAGTGCCGCCTGCGCAAGTGTCGGGAGGCGGGCATGCTGGAGCAGTGTGAGTGTGAAGCAGATGTAGAGAGAGTTTAGATAAAACAACATTTGAGCTTGTGGGTCTTTTCAAATCATAGGAATAAAATGGAACATCCTCTTTGACCTGTAGGCGTGCTCTCTGAGGAACAGATCCGACTGAAGAAGATGAAAAAGCAGCATGAGGATGTGACGGCCCGCAGCTCCACAGTGGTCACCCCCACCCCTCCTCTGGAAACAGCTTCTCTGGACCCCCAGCAGCAGGAGATGATCGAGAAGCTGGTGTCCATGCAGAAACAATGCAACAAGAGGTCTTTCCTGGAACGACCCAAAGTGACAGTAAGTGAACGCCTCACAGGATAGATCTGAGTTGACTGTTATATTAACCTTAATGACATTACGAGTATTTTATTAAACTGTTGTATCGCGGGCCCCTCGGTCTCCCCCTTTCAACACTGTACCTATCAGTAGGTACCCTTGGGCTCAAAAAAAGGGTTGCCGAATAGGTAGCGTTAGCAGCCTGGGGCTCTGTCCCCATGCAGAGGACCAGGATGTCAATCAATATTGCCTCCTGTCATTGCTCTGTCTCCTTCTTTCAACTCAGTCTCTTCAATAAATGAAAAGAAAAATGTATTTAAACAAAAACATTTAAACTTGTGAATTCTTTATAGCTACTTAAAGATTTTAGACAAATACATCAAATATGAATACAATTGAACTGATGTGTGGTTTGCAGTAGTATCAGTTATTTGAGACAATAAAATGAACTTCCCTTAAAGCAGGGGTTCCCAACCCCCCGGTGCCGGGCCGCGGAGGTGTTACTGCCGGGCCGCGAAATAGCTGTGAGTTTATCGTAATATTTGCAGAATTATAAATATATAAAAATATTTTGTCATAATGTTTTATAATTTTCGCACCTATACCAGTTATATTATTTCATCCAGTAGCCTAGTTAAACTTTCACCAGAAAACCGTTGGAAATGGCTTTTATGATGTTCCGAGGGATTCGGCGGCTCAGCCTAAGGTCTCAGCCTCTCGTGCACACAAGAAAGTTACCGGTGCGCCAAGCAGGAAGAGGAGCACACAGGAGACAACCGTTTCATTGCAGACTGTTATGTTTATGTGGGGAAATGACAGGGCATACATTATTTGAGATATATTTCAAACTAGGACTTCATTTTAAGGACATGTGGGCCAGAGGTGTAGAGCTATTTGTTTAAGCACCGGATTGGCAAAACAGGAGAGTCTGTAAACCAGTCGGCCTTGATCTATGAATTAATCTCACAGTATCTGCTGCCCACAGCTGTTTTATAGAAGGAAAGCCTCCTTCACTTCATGAAATGGCTGCAGCATCAGGAGGCAGCGGGACGTTAGTGCTATAGCCAAATGTAAGGAAGAGATTCCACCAATACTTAACTTGATAGCATGTCTGCATGTAAGGGAGGAAAGTTATACAAAATGTACACCACCCCAAATTGATCATGTTGTTGATAGTGCTACAGATGCGCTGCCAATAAAATTAGACTCTGTTGCTCCTTTGAAAAAGAAGAAAATAAAACAACATAGACTAGCTCCATGGCATAATGCCGAAACCCGCAAAATAAAGCNAAAAGTGTCAAAAAAGACCGGGGTCATTTTTTAGCTGCGCAGCCGCGTGAGAAATCCCAGAATCTGCCCGGTTGTTTGTCGACTCGGCCGACTACATACGATTTATTTGAGATCTCTCTCCTTACGACCGATTCCCCCGAATGTTGGTGTTGTTTACTTGTATAGAATGGCCACCTAAATGTAACATTTTGTACAAGTTGTTAGACTACGGCTGTCATTGAATGACTAACGGCCAATCAATTTTTTGGATACTTAATTACGAAGACCTGATCAGACGTCTGTTCGCCGTCCGCTGTTTGCGAAAATTTACGAGACAAAAGACTTACCCTCTAAGCCGCGACTTCGATTGCGCTCATACTACGAGACTGGCAGGGTGTGAGTGTTGTTGCCTCCGGATGTCTGTATTATTGAACGCCTGACATAAGCGGTACTGTGTCGGACACCAACATGAACAAATTAAACAACAGATGCAAACGACTGATCTATACTCCTCGGTACACTCGAGGACTCCCGATTGTCGATTGCCGACTACATCAAAAAGACTACAAAGCGTAAACTTATACTGCAGTGCGAGGCGGATGGTGACGCTAATTGATATCAATGACCGGGGTCGCATGTTTAGACATCTACCTAATGCGTCGTATTGTCACTCGGACCAGGAGTTCCGGTATTAGATATGGCCATGATTCAGGCTCGCTCCGGGACGCGTTACCTTTACACGGTATTTACCATGCGTTTCCATTTTATAGTTTCAAGTGAGTTTTCCTCAAAGAGAGGAAACGCTGAAGGATGGAAGGACTGGTTTTACTGTAGTGTTACAGTGTAACGGAGAGAATAACGCGATGGGAGTGGTGTGTAAGCATGTACTATCCGATTCCCGCCCCTTTAGCACGATTTGCTAACTGGTTAGTGTTTGATCTCGGCCGGCGATTGGTATGTCGTCTGACCCCGAAGACCAAAGTCTGGTCTCGCGGCAACTTTTCTCCACGAGCGTCGTCTCCGTCAATACTCTTTCTTAATTTCGCGAGAAACTTGTAATTCGTGTAAAAATGTTTGTGCGTTGGTATCTGGTTTGTCCAACGTGTATATGTACCCTTAGACAACAGGCTAGTGTACAACGGTCCGTGCCAGTGCTGGTATCTAATCATATACAACATTCCATATGCGAAACAAAAAGACATATACAAGAAGTTCACGAACAGAAAACTCAAAATAACACAGAAAAAGTACAGAAAACATAGTCGCAACTCGAGAGAGCGGAGGAGAGGAAACAGCTACCATAAGATGTAGCACAACGAGAAACACAGACAAGACATTTGACGTCAGAATAAGAGACGCGAATACGAATACATAAGAAAAAACAAAAAAACGAAGACTAATAGGGGCAAATAGTGGTGATCTGTCTGCTCCCCTACCATTCTTCAGTTTCATCTTGAAACACCATAACATCACGTCTAAATTACAGACCGGTCACTGAATGAGACCCCACCCCCTGAGAACCAAAAACCGTATAGTCAACAAATAGACACTCACCACCACCTGTCTCCAGTGCTACCGGGCCGCCCACACTTCCGCTTTGTCTTCTACACACCCACCCTCCACAAACTGTCTTCTTCCGCGCGCCACACCTGTCTCGCCACACTCTCTCTCTTCTTTCTCTTTTACGTTGTCCACACTACCCAGTCCAAACCGGCTCATCACCTTTTCAGACGTTTACTTATACATCCCGAGCGTCCGCTCACCTAATTTATTTCTCCTGTTGGTACCTTCGCTCATTTTGTAAGTTTATTCGTGGTGTCGCTACCCTTTTTCATTCATCGTCGTAAAGTTCACGCGGTCATTTTTGCTTATTACCTGTGTCGTATCCGACTTTCTAACTGTATTTCAACGTGAAACTGAAACTGCTAGCCGGTACTACGCCAAGTGGAAACACAACCAAAACGGCAAGGCACGCTTAAACCGGCGCGTGTAGTGGAAATGCGCCATTACATGCAAAAAAAGTTATTACACACTACAGGAAAGGGGTGACCACAAATAAGCATAACAGGGCCTCTTTAACTTGACAGACACCTGAAGAAAACCTTGTCATTGAACACCATTTGGTCCATTCTAGGACTTAGGTGACAAAGATCTACAGTAAGTTCCCTAGCCAAGTCCCCACAAACTAAGGCTGCAGCCACACGAGAACGGTAACGGTTGTATCCGCTACAGTTCTCTATCATATAGACGGTTCGGCCACACGAGGCCGACAGCAGGGAAACGCAGATAACGATAACGGGTCCCAAGGTGGGTAGATCTGGGGACGCAACGCTCTGGGGGGCCAAACGGCTCCGTGTCTACACCCTATACGATCATTTCCAGATAACGATGACGCAATAGCCCCGCCTCTCCCCACCTCTCCTACTCAGAGATCAGCTGCTGGGCTGTCAGAAGAGGGGGAGGAAAAGAGAGGCTCAGTTTTTTATCATTATATTATTATATAGTAAAGAAGACCTCTGACCGGAACTTTTCTAATTTTGTCCGGAAGATTGAAACTTTAACGGACATTTTGACCGGCGGAAAAAAATTCTGCTTCACGGTCCCCTCGTCCCTTGGAAGAGGCGGAGAGGTGGGTGTTTTTCATGTGCTGGTGGACTACTGGAGGGATTTACAGCAGGAGAAAACGCTTGCCTCGGGGAGGGAGAAAAAGAGCCAGAGCGTCCACAGCGGAGAATAAACAGAAGGGCAACCATGGCAACCATGCGCAGGAAGTCTTCTTCGCTGCTTTTGGTGTATTTTGTGGCAGGAGTACAGCGCCACTTACAGGCCCGGCATATGTACTACAGCGTCTCCAGTGCTTTCGAGCGGTCTCGTGTGAACGGACACGTTTCTGGTGCCTATTGCGTGTGGACGGAATACTTTTTTGATATCGAATTTGGTTTGTTTGCGTTACCGTTCTCGTGTGGCTCCAGTATAAGCTACCCAACACACCCTCCAGCCTCCACTGCACAAAAATATTCAGAGCAACTATGGAAATCACTGCTTAGTATTCCAGTGGAAAACAAAAAGGATGATGACACTGTGCCATAAACACAGCAGCACCAGCACGGCAGCAGCTCAGAAACAACTGCAGGGTAGAAACTAACAAAAATAAAGAATAAAAACTGAATTTGAGAGCTCACGCAAGCGGGCCGCAGTCGGTGATGAAATCCTCTCTGGGATTTGCAAAACAAGGTAAAAACGAGCTCTGAATGTCAAACGCTTATCAGATCAGTGACGGGCTTCAGTTTGTGTCAAAGAAGAGGAGCATATCGCTGCTAATTAGAGAAATGATCCCTGATCTGAATCGCCATCGTACGGAAAGCATGGAGCATGCTGGGAGTTTAACTGGTGTGCTCTTCACAGTTCAGCAGGTCGCAGATATAAAGGGAGGATTGATAAGCTCCCATCTGAATGTCCTTCTGGAGGCAAATTTATGACACATTTAGAGATGACTGAACTATTAAGAGGCATACTGCTAATTATCTACTGTTATATTAATACTCAGTATTCATTTAGATAAACTGTGTTGGTGCCGCTGGACTGTAATATTATTTTGCGGGCATTTAAGTACCTTAATTACTTAAATCAGATCAGGATTATGATGATGATTGTCATTATTATAATTATTCTTATTTGTTGTTTAAGTAGTATTGTATCACAAGTTAGTGCATGTTTTCTAAATGCTGCGCGTGTCTTGTCACGTTAAAAGATGTTTCTAAATTTGCTCGTGTTTTGGCACATTTGTGTTTTTATATTTGCATCGATTCCTTATGAAAGTGTTTTGAGCCGCATTTGTACGGAAACAAAGTCGGGATAACGGGTTAGTATCTCGTGCACACGAGAAACTATCCGTGCGCACGAGAAACTATCCTGTTATCCCGACTTTTTTTTTTTTTTAAAGTTACCAGTGCGCCATGGAGGAAGTGGAGCGCACAGGAGACAACCATTTCATTGCAGACTGTTATGTTTACGTGGGGAAATGACGGTATTTGAGATATATTTCAAACTCAGACTCAATTTTAAGGACATTTCGGCCAGGGGTGTAGAGCTATTTGTTTAAGCACCGGATTGGCAAAACAGGAGAGTCTGTAAACCAGTTTGCTTTGATCTATGAATGAATGTCCGTGACTCTCAGAGTACTTGCTGCTCGCAGCTGGTTTAAAGGGAAACAAACACTCAGAACACACACACACACACACACACACACACACACACACACACGCACGCACGCACGCACGCACGCACGCACGCACGCACGCACGCACGCACGCACGCACGCACGCACACACACACACGCACACGCGCACACAGGCGACCGGACATCTCCTTCATAATGCACCTTCTCCTCGTTTTCCCAGCATTCACTGGGCTATCTGTAAATCATACAAACAAAACCAAAATGTTGATTTATCTGTTTTCCCGTTTTGGTTTAAAAACTGAATAACATCAGTTGTTTGGTTTTTCTGTAAAACACTGGTTCTTTTTTTTTTTTTTTAAGGTTGTTAATATGTTTTGGATGCATATTGCTCTAGTATTTGTTCAGGCTGTTACATACAGTACAATTAGTCTCTGTTGCTACCTGCTGGTGAGTAAATATTAAAATCAGTTAAAATTGACAACCGGTCCGCGATTTTTATTTTATGTATCTGCCGGTCCTTGGCACAATAAAGGTTGGGAACCCCTGCCTTAAAGGTTCAGTTTGTAGTATAATTGATGATCAATTATAAATAACGATTCTGTTACTGCATTGCCTACTGTATTTCCTTCGCAGATGTTTTCAGAAATATATTGAAGCGTTCTGTTTAGCTGTAAAATCTGAACATTTGCTCCAGCCAGAGGTTTTTGGATTTCAAAATTACAGTCATTACCTAAAGCTGCATGTAGGGTGGGTGTTTGATGTGGGAGGCCACTATTCTGCTTCAGGAAAAAATATAGCTGCTTTAGAGGGAACTACTTTTCTGGTTGACTGCTGTGCTGATGCGTGTCGGTAGATTGCGAGTCACAGCCATTGTATTCAATTGGTGGTAAAAGCAGACAAGATTGGATCATCTCTCCTGTCGAGGTTTAACATAAAACATTTTGTGTATGTTGCTGTCATGAAAACGTATCAGGGATTTTTTTTACTTTGTGCCTCATATATTTTGTTATGTGTGAACCCAACAGCCGTGGCCTGAGAGTCAGGACCCTCAAAACAGAGAGGTGCGTCAGCAGCGCTTCGCCCACTTCACTGAGCTCGCAATCATGTCCGTGCAGGAGATTGTGGATTTCGCGAAGCAGCTTCCTGGTTTCCTGGAGCTCACCAGGGAGGACCAGATTGCTCTGTTAAAGACGTCAACCATTGAGGTTTGTCATTATTCACCATGCACCATGCAGCATGCATCCTGAATCTGAAGCTTCCAGTTTGAAAGATTTGTTTCACTTCATACAAGGCATTGTCACAGTAATTGATGTTACACGTGAAACTTGAAAACACTTATTTCAAATCGTGTGAACAGGGTTGCTTCCCGCATTATTTTCCAACGGTTGTGTATAACTTAAATCTCAGTTTTGCTGTATATCAATACTCCACTTACAAACATGTGTTTCCTCCTCAGATTATGCTGCTTGAGACTTCTCGGCGATACAACCCTACTATCGACAGCATCACGTTTCTGAAGGATTTCAGCTATAATAAGGAGGATTTTGCCAAAGCAGGTACCTATGCTTAAAATATTTGTATATTATGTATCTCTTAAGCTTATTACTGTATTTAATTAAACTGTCTTGTCTGGTGTTTAAACAAAGACATAATAAACGTGTACTTTAAGAGTTCTTTTTGTTTCATGCAAATAATAGTTTTTGCCCAAACTGGACAGCCAGCATCAGATATTGAATACAACATATGAAACACATGAATGTCAGGTCAGGCTTTGAGAATAGGGTATGTCTGATATTAGGGCTGCTCAATTAATCGTATTGTAATCGCGATAATTTTTACGATTATGGCTTGCAACGATTACGAAAACAACGTAATCGAAATAAAACGATTATTTTTT